AAAAGAAAAAGAAAAAAGGCACACGGTCCAATCTGGCTCTTTATTAAATAACGGGTGATGAGATTTATCCATGAAACATTTGAGTCATTAGATTTAAAAAAAGGTCATTTTACCAAATATTGAAATATTTTAAAACAAAATCTGAAGAATCAAACTGTTGGAACAGTTCAGCCACCTGATAATTAACTCTATAAACATTAATTTTATTTGAGTCAATGAACCAAAAATTAGTTCTGAATTGACTCATTAAAACAAGAATTTAATGAAAATGTTTCATTAAATAAAAACCATCTGATGTAAGAAGTCATTATTAAAGCAGCACTAGTGAAGACAGCTGATTAAATGTAAAAAATTAAAAATAAAGTTATATTGATTCCAACCTGCTGGTTTAAAACAGGAAAAAACAGCTTCAACCTTCAGTCTGGACCGGTCCAGTCCGGTCCGGTCGGGTCAAACCAGGACAGGTGGAGGTCAGAACATTAAATGTGTCCAGCAGCAGTCAGAACAGAACCTTTAAAGTGGGTCAGCAGAACCTGAGCAGCTCAGTGTTTTATTAAAGCAGGCGTCTGAAGCCATGACCCAGATATGATCAGAACTGAGTCAGAACTGGAGCTGCTGGGACCACGGCAGGAACATTTTATTATTTAACATGTAAAATAAAAAAGGATCACATTTCATCAGAAATAAAGCTGTGATAATCAGGTTGGTTCTGATTCTACCAGGTAAACTAACTCTGAACACCTGTCCTCACCTTACATTAAACTGCAGATCAAACTATGTACTCTGAGGGGGACACTAGTACAAGTACTTTAGTTTGGGTACTCAATACAGAGTACTTAATGATTTAAAACCATCATATATTCAGAACAAAGTGTTTCCTTACAGAACTACAGCCTCAGACTGGATCAGACCAAATATTTTAACTTGTAGGRGTGTAAGAAAATATCRATACACTGAAATATCGCGATATTTCATTTCYCAATACTGTATCGATATTCTAAAGCCCTGTATCGATTTTTTATTAAGGTTTAAAATGTCAACTCTCCTGCCAGCCGTTCATTTTTATGTTGTAGTTCAGCCTCTGACCACTAGTTGGCAGCAGTGAGCCAG